TTTTTTAATTTTTTTTTTTTATCGTTTTCATGCAGGCACACAACGTCTATAGCCACCCCTCCCCACTAACATATTGTATTTCTCACTGTACATTCTATACATGATCTGAAACTAGTTCAGGAAATGTCATATGACCTCAGTGACTAACAACTGTCTGATCTCTCTCTGTACACTCTTTGTATGTTGTAAATTCTTCTCCTGTAGTGAATACTCAATAGGGGAATTCCACCCATTTTTCAAAGTTTCTGCATAATGAAACGTGTTCAGATGTAAATAGAGTCATTCACAGTGTTTGGAAGTGAAATGCTCCATTTTATTGAAACTTACCAACTCACATTTCTTTACAATGGTAGTGCTAGGAGCCAGACGTATGATGTGATTAAATAAAATGGTTATGAATACGCTGTCTGCTGCCTGAGACAATGTCTTACTGTAGTTTTGACATAAGAGAGTGTTAAAAGCCAAAGAAAACTGCTGCTACTTTTTCAGATTTATCACTATTTTATACCAACGTACATGCATGCAAGAACTGTAAGAACTCAGAAGACGTGTAGATTCACTGGTAGTTTTGGATAGTAAATAAAATGGTTATATTTACGTTGTAGACACTGTGACCCCTGGTTCCTATCAGCACCACTATAAATAAATCGAGTCCATCATTGAACCAGTGAACGATTTCACATCAAACCACTGTGAATAACTTTGTTTATATCTCAACCATTTAATTATGAAGAAATATTGTAAAATTGGTCGAATTCCTCTTTAAAGGAATACTCCATCATTTTTCAACCTCATCTCTATCTGATACATCTGTAGCACAGGTTAATTATAATGAGCATTAATCTGTTTGTACTTGGAAAAGAACAGAAACTGACTCAACACAAACACATAAGAGAATCCAATAGGCAGGTGCTGAATTCAAAAGTAACCTGAACTACTTTTTACTGTGTTGCTCCAGAGTTGCTTGCCAGATTTATTTTCCTGTCTCAACCAAGTCCCAGCTACAGTTAAAAAAATCTATTTTCTTTTTTTTCAACTGTCACCAGTGCACACTGACTCACACTCGGGGCCCTGCTGGAAAAAAAAACAAAAAAAAAACAGCATGCCTGGTCACCAGCAAAACCAGCATATATTGTGTTTTGGATGCTGGTATGGCGGTCAGCAGCAATGGTAGTTAATATGCTGGTCACCAGAAAAACCAGGATATGCTGTATATTGGATGCTGGTATGCTGGTCAACCAGCAAGACCATGCTGGGTGACTAGCTAAAGCAGACCATATCAGCATGGAATGCATGCTGGTCCATGCTGGATTTTAAGTAGGGGGGTTAAAGGGGACTGGACTGAACCAAAGCAGAGCTTTAGCAGCTTTACTTAACCTCAGCAGCAAACAGAGCTGAACCTTGTTGCTGTAATTTGATAGAAATGTAAATAGTTTCATGTAAAATCTATTTATCCATTCAATGTGAACAACGGTGAGAAATAACCTCTGAACAGTTCCATATTCTTGAAAGGGAAAGGTTCTTGATGTCAAATGAGTGGCAGAATTCTTTGAAGCAGTTAATTTTGCTAACTTAAAGGCTTTTATCTTTGTCAGAAAAAAAAGCATAAGATACCCTGATATCATTTTGATGCCATTAGTTCAATTAATTTAGTGCGCACAGTGGTTGGATTCCACACACAGTGAATGCCAAAAAACTTTCAATCCATATTACTTTTGTGTTTGTAGGTGGAAGAGCGGGTGTTGTTGCCTGAAGAAGATCCTTGCTTTACATATTTATGGTAATTCGTACTGGAAGGAGATAAAGGCTAGTTAAGACTTGGTCTTGAAGATTACCCTGTTTCTTGGGTTTTGGTCTTGGCTCAGTCTCGCTATCACTTGGACTCGGTCTTGACGTGGTCACATTTTCATTTAGACTCAGTCTTGACATAGTCTCGCTTTGATTTGGACTCAGTCTTGACATAGTCTCGCTTTCATTTGAACTTGGTCTTAATGTGGTCGCACTTTCATTTAGATTCGGTCTGGGCGTGGTGTCACTTTCATGTGGACTTAGTCTTGATGTGGTCCCACTTTTATTTGGACTTGGTCTTGACCTAGTCTCAGCCCCCTTTAGACCTGTCTTGACTCAATCTCGACTAGTCATAGTCTTGGACTTGACAAAGGTGGTCTTGACTATAGCCCTACACACTTAAACATTATGGTTCTTCAAGGGTTCTTTAGTAAAGAAAATGGTTCTATGTAGAACTATGAACACTCAAAGAACCTTTTGCATGATTAAAGCGTTCTTTGCATCATGAAAGGGTTCTTCAGACTGATGGAGAATGTGCTGTATAGTTCTATATAGAAGCTTTTTGAAAAGGGTTCTATATAGCACCAAAAAGGATTCTTCTATTGTAACAAGTCTGATACCGTAACAAATGGAAGAACTCTTTTTGGTGCTATACAGAAACATCTACAGCACATTCTCCATCAATCTGAAGAGCACTTTCACGAAGCAAGAAACACTTTAATCCTGCAAAGAGTTCTTTGAGTGCTCATGGTTCTATATAGAACCATTTTCTTTACTAAAGAACCCTTGAAGAACCATCATTTTTAAGTGTGTAGCCTTCTATTGTAACTATGTATCAAATCAACGTTTTCAGCTCTTTACCAAATACAGGAAAACACCGTATCCTACAGATGCAGCACATGCTGTAGAGGTTAGGATGAAAAATGCTACAGTATTCTTTTAAGATACAACATTTGTGAACATGAATATCACATTGATTTTTTAAAAGATACAATGTCCTTAAACCTGTATGCTGTGTTGTTTGCTTTGTTTGCTGAATTGGATTAAAGTGTAAAATATTTGCATTAATCTTCAGACCAAGCAAAGCATTAACTTGCAGTATGCAGAGAAGTATTTTACACATTTGCCACTGTGTGCACCTTAACGACTCTTGTGGACGTTCGCCACACACGAAACAAAAATAAATCTCAACTCTTAATCGACAGATTAAAAACTGTCTGAGACCAGAATTATACGAAGCAGTTACAGGACAATCACTGAAACATGGCAAGCCACAAAAGAGCAACCTCCTTGACCAGCACCCATAATCCACTAGCGTCTGCAGTAAAAGCACAAATATATTGCACATGACGTTTTATCCATTCGAATTCACAGAACGATGACCGGTACAGGTGTGCTAATGTTCTATACATATTTTTTTTTTCTGACATCAGAGGTCATGACCTCATACTGAGTGAAGAAATAAAATAAAAAAAATAAAAATAGAAATACAATTAAATACATCAAGGTATATCTCGATCACCTGCTGATGTTTCTGTCGCACAAAAAAATCAAATAAAAAATCTGAAAAAAATGCCAGTGTGATTGTCAGCAGAGTTTTGGTTACGTGAATATATTGACATCAAACCGTATTTTATAAAGGGTTCGAGAATCAATTTTCCCTTCATTCACTTGAAACATTTTAGCCCTAAAATTGATTTATTTGCAGTTGAACATTCTCACAGTCCATTGTGCACCACGGCTGGCTTTCTATATTAGCAACAGAGCACTGTTCTAATATCTCAGGAGAAGAAGATTTTTTGAATTTAAATTGAAAGACATCAACAGCGCATTTGTGAGATACAATTCAATGTCAAAGTCAAACGTTAGCGTAATAATATTTTTTATATTATAATGTTAGTATAACTATTTATATTTTCTGACCAATAGGCACTTTCAAGAGTTAGTAAAACACAAAACAAGATGTTTTAGGGCCTCTTTCAGAGAATCTATTTAACATTTGTTTTCTTGTCATTTCTTTTCTGTTCTGAAATACACCAATGAGGCAACTTCTCATATGCAAGTACCATAAACATTACAACTTATTAACACGATACATTTTAACGTCAGTATTTTCTCTGTCCGAAGTTTGGCTTCCTTGTTTATTGAGAATTTGAGAATATTTCTGCGCTCGTCAAAATAACCTTAGAATTTCTTACCATTACATCTTTAAAGGGGCATTCCAGCCTAAAACAAGCCTTTAATAGGTAATTTGTCATATTATATCACATTCTGTTTCACAGCTTCAGACCCCTCATCAGATCATGATTTTCGGTCCTTTTTGCGTTTTCATCTATCACTACAATACCCAGAATGCATTTCGCAAACACAATTAGAAATCCTCCCACAGTGATAAAGAAATCCTGACTGCTGGCAGAGCCACCGATGTAGAGGCTAATAAATACAGACTTCCTCGCGGCCCACCCTCAGGTATCCAACCCAAAGCAGTTGTACCTTTTCAGGTTCCTCCCACCTTCAAGATACATCATCAGGAGATGGGTTTCCTATTACTAAAACCAGAAAATCTCACTCTAGATACTCCTACGGCACCGCTTTAGGATACAGGTAGGCATGTTTACAACAGATGAACCAATGGCTAAACTTTTCTTTTTGGCCAGAGTGCCCCTTTAAGGACTTTTACATCAGATGCTGATATTTTCTAGAGAATTGAATTTGCAGTGTTGACCTAAAAAAATCTACCAACAAAAGATAGATAAATACATAAACTACATTTATATGAATTCAGTTGCTAATTCACGAGTCTTCATGTTGTTGACATACTCTGTACTTGCGGCTGATTGTAAAAAAATACATTTTACAACCTCTTTGTAGATTCCAACAGTAATCAGCTTCGGCATTAGGCATTTATACAAGCGATGCGAAATATATTTGATTTCTTTTAAATGGTCACTTTGATAAACACCATGGCCTGGAAATAAGACAATATCAAAATAATCATATTTTTGGCACTTCTTACAATTGGTTTTGATGAAAAATGGTTGAAACGCTGAAAAATTTATAAATCGTATTATTTATTTGTTAATCTTGCTATTTTTGTTGCACTTTGTTTCCGAATCCACATGATGTAGGAGTTGATCTTTCTGGGAAAGATCATGAATGTAATAGGGTCATTTTCAGTAGTACTTACTCATGAAATGCATTAGTTTCATTACACTCTGAACGTTTATAGGTAGTCGGATGTGCTCTGTCCATCCAGTCAAACTGGCTGCCAATGAGAAGGAGGAAAATGCTGAAAATATGCAATAAATATGACTGAAACTGTACTGCCTTCAATTTTCGGAGTGCTATTTGGCAGAAATCTCCACAAAAATTGGATTACTATTAGAAAGCACTGCTGTTTTCCTAAAGCCTGAGCACACGTTTGGCTCCAAAGTATATCCTTGGTGTGAATCTTACTGAGATTTTTTGACACTTTTATTAGCATTCTCCATAAAATATGTATTTTCACAATTTTAGGTATCATGATTATTGATTTGTTTCTTTACTTGAAAGAGATCAGTAAGTAGCGCTTAAAGGCCCTACACTGTCCTGGCTGTAGTCGGTTGGATCGGAGGGGCGGGCTTTTGGGGGAGGAGTCACGTTGGGCGCAGCCAATCAGGCGCTCAGGTGGGCAGGTTGAGATTGGCACTCTCGGCCTGGGGGCTGGACATGCGGATCTGCGAGCTGCTCTTGCTCAGGATGGACAGCTGCGTGCCCCCGTTCACCCCACTGCTCGCTAGCGAAGGGTGACGCTGCTGCTTCAGGTCCACAGCAAAGTACCTGTTCACCGTCCAGCTGCGCCATTTCCTCTTGATCTCCGACTGCACCTTCAGGCAGAAACTTGAAAAGGTCATTTTTTAATGGACTCAGCTGTAAGGGTACACGCGCTCTCCCACCTGCCCTGATATCACTCCCATTTCTCAACACAGGTCACTGCCTAAAGTGTTCTCTAATGCATCACAGAGGGGAAAGTGACTTAAAGGAATACTCCAGAGTTTATCAACTGAATCACTATTTGTTGCATCTGTAGTATGTTGCTGATTGCAATGTCATTCCAACATATTTTCATGTATTTACAAAAGAAATGAAAAGCCATTGGCTCGGAATTGACTTCTAACAGAAGCCATTGGGCCAGTTACTGAATTCCGAAATACTAATACGTGGCTGTATAACATAAATTCAAAAGTACAAGCATATGAGGGGCATGAGAGAATGTCTTAAAAAGCAGGTTTTATGAACTTGGTACCACTTTACACTAAGACTACCCTTATAAAGGATTTATAAATGGCTTAAAATTAGTTTATTGATGGTTATTAATTAGGTAATAAACCACACTTCCCTTGCTTTAAGTAATATGTAAACACTGTTAATGTTCTAAACATACCATTCATGACCCAGTCCATGCAGTCCATGTATGGAAACTAAACTGCAAAAACAGGCAATTTGGAATTAACTGTTTCTGTGATGTGACAAGAACCAACTCATTTACATTTATCCATTTATTCATTCACATTTATCCATTTATTCATTTACATTTATCCATTTATTCATTTACATTTATCCATTTATTCATTCCTACAGCATTTTAGTCCTACCTTTTCGTGCTGAAGTTATAAGGAGTGTTTCCAATCACTTCAAGTGATTTTGAATGGAACTTAAATCGGGGCTAATTTACATATATCAATCTTAAAGGAACAGTAACAAAAACAGCCTGTTTACTTGTAAGGGATAGAGATGGGAAAATGGTCATATGAAAACTAAGTATGACCATTTTTGGTACATAAAGCACAAATGTTATAAGTGGAAATTAAATACAAGATGGGCCCTTTCAAAATCATTAATAAGCAGTTACAACATATAGGGCAACAGTAACCTACTATATTTGATAAATATGAATATCTGATGAAGCTGACAGGTTTAAGGCTGACTGAATGAAAAGATAAAGTGAGATAACTAAGCAGTAAGATCTGAGCTTTAATGAATGTGGGCTCACTGGCAAGCAACAGGTCACTGTTGCCCCTTTTATTTATGTGTTGTAACCACTTATTCATAATTTTTAATAACCATTAATAAACTCATTTTAAACCATTATTTATAAGGGTAATCGTATTGTAAGGTGGTACCATGAAGGTTATCCAGCTTTCATTTGCCATCCCTAAGGTTTTCTGGTGTTAATGGCAACCAGGTGGAGCTGGTCAAAAGTCTGCCCATACCAGTACATTAGTAACGAACTGATACCAATTCTTCCCTCAGGAAAACTAATCTCTGAAAGAACAAATTCTACAGATGTACAGTTTAATTACAAATACTTTTCATTAAAAAAGGCATTTGTGTTGTACAGAACATGTTTTGCCTAAACATTTACTGATAGAATCCAGCAGTTGTCCATTTGCTCATATGTCAGAATTTCCGTCTATGTTCAGGGACACAGAAAGGTTGTTTACGTTGGGGGTGCTGATATTTTAAGTAGGATATATTTGAACTGAACTATGGGCCTCATTCACCAACACAGTGTGTCTGTGTGTGCATGTGTTTATATATATGAGCGTGTGTGTGTGTGTGTGTGTGTGTGAGGGTGGACAACATGGACAGGCTGCTGACTGGCTACAGCTGCTAAAGGAGAACCCTACGCTGGCCAATTGTAATATTTAAACATCTGGTACTTTAACATAAATTGTTATGGCTGTACTGCAGTGGGTCCACCAAACCACTGAGTAACAACATCAACACTACACAAGGGTTAAAACCTTTCTCAAGAACAAATTAAAGAAAAAAACTTAGGACTATGACATCACGCAAAATGATCTGCCATTTTATTTTTATTTACTGTTTTGCTAATTTACACCAGAAAGTGTTATACAGTGCTATAATGAGGCGAGAGATGACAATATATACATATAACTGACACTTCAAAAAACTGACGCACATTATCACTCTGTTCTCTCGTTCTGGCCAAACTTCATGCAAATGAGCAGAGCGGTAACCAATCAGATTGTTGACATGTGGCACGGATTGTCATGCTCACAGCCATGCTTGAGATATAACACCGGAACGCACACAGAGCAGGAGAAATAATGGTTAATAGCTTAATGATTTTATAAGTTTAAAAAAACAGTTCTAGCCTGCTTCGTGGCTTAGAACTGGCCTATAACACTGCACAGACTTTCTCTCTGTGCTCTTCAACCTGCGTGCGTTAGCAACACGGCACTAAAGCGGCCAACAGCTGACGGCTTACTGTAATAAAAGTAAGCGTTCACTTAGTGCAAGACTGTGGCAGATTAAAAAAATATAGTAAAATAAAATATAAAAATACAAACTTCACTCTAAAACAAGCACACATGGGTCTTTACTATGCTGAAATTATTATAAAGTTTTATTATTATTATTGTATTTGGCAGTTGCAATCCTGATCCCCCCACTTCCTGCATCCCTGTCTGTGTTAATCGACCATAGTAGTGGGTGACACTCATCTAAAGTTAGTGTGGTTTGCACTCTTTGTATGTTGCGTTATCTGCGCTTATTTGTGGCGTAACTGTATAACGTTTATAACAAAACTTATACCTGAAAGAAGAATTTCAACCAGTACACCGCCTGCATGCTACAGAGGCATCAAATAAAGATTAGGCTGATACACACTGGAGTATTTCTTTAATAGAGTTCAGTGCAATTATCCACCTGACAAATTATGATTCATCTTCTTCATCACTGACAAAGATCATAATATTTGGCGTATTTATATATTAAAAGATTCATATCTGAGAACAAATCTAAATAGATTACAATTTTAGACCAATGCTGCATGCACATGAAAAAACATCTGTATGTTTAACTTTATTGAAGACAGGCATAGATTAAAGACATTATAGAGGCTTACCTCTCCATTCAGGAAACAGTAGAGCACAGCTACCACAAACCCCTAGAGAGAATCAGAGTGAGAATATGGTTAACCAGTGGTCAGCGATTATGGATCTGCTGGTCTCAGTGCGTTTAATAAATGTCTGAGGTGCTACAATGTTCCCAGCGCTGCGTAGCATGACTGTGGGAATTTTATTCATAATGGAAAGTGACATAGCAGTTAGAAATAACAGTCTCTGTGTAAGACACTGCATCACTCATTGGCCTCTAATGTCCACTAATGTCCACTGTGGGAAAGTTTTTCTTTCAAAAGCAGTAATGTGGCTCACAATGGATAAAAGCTAGCACTTCTTAGTTTGAGCATTCAGAGCAGGTATTATTATTATCAGCACTGCAGTGACACTGACATGGTGGTGGTGGTGGTGTGTTTGTGTGTGCTGCACTGGTATGAGTGGATCAGATGCAGCAGTGCTGCTGGAGTTTTTAAACACTGTGTCCACTCACTGTCCACTCTATTAGACACACGTGCCTTGTTGGTCCACCTTGTAGATGTAAAGTCAGGAACTGTAGCTCATCTGTTGCTGCACAGTTTGTGTTAGTCATCCTCAAGTCCTTCATCAGAGGTCACAGGACGCTGATCCACTCATACCAGCACAACACACACTAACACACCACCACCATGTCAGTGTCACTGCAGTGCTGAGAATGATCCACCACCCAAATAATACCTGCTCTGTGTAGGGGCTTTTGAGGGGTCTCACCATTGAAGAACAGGGTAAAAGGGGGCTAACAAAGTAGCTGTTGCAGAGCAACAGGTGGACTACAGTCTGTAACTGCAGAACAATAAGGTGCAGCTATACGATAAGTGGAGAAACAAGGAAATGTAATGTAATGGCTGATCAGTGTATAATATATTTGCTGTTATGAAACATGAGTGCCTTAACGTGAGCGCTTTGCTAAAGATGTGACTGAGGAGACAGACTGCATATCTGGCTCTGAAGGAGCTTTGCTAACTATGCTAACTACTGATGTTAGCTGATATTAGTGAGGTCCAGAAACAATGAAAATATATTACTGACAAACTAACATTTTGGCACATCGTCCAATGAGGAGCAAAGACTTTGCGTAGAAGACGAGTCCTCATCAGCATCCAGCATTGCACTGGTTAGCTTTAGTGTTAGCTCATTAGCTCATCTGAAGAGGCAGCACTGGCTACTCATCTGATACGAAAACTGATTTCCCTTTTGCTATTTTTGAATAATAAACACGTTTTCTGTTTATTATTCAACTGTTTGAACTTTTGCACACGACTGTATATTAATTACACTAAATGAAGGAGAGGCTGTAGCGTGTTTGGTTTACCTGGAAAGATCCGAGGCCCAGTTCGAACACCAGTCTCTCCCTCTTGCTGACGTCCTCAGGGGAAAAGGCAAACACAGTGTAATGGATGCCAAACAGAGGGATGAGCAGCAGGGTGGAGCGGGCCAGCCTCCTGGAAACACACATCACAACGTCTGGCACATCAGTCCACTGCCAGACTCAAATCACGTAATCAGCACAACAAAAACGATGCTGCTGTAATGAAGTGTTACAGAATGTGACGATATCCTCCAGACTGGAGTGATATCGCTAAACATACTGCAATATCACACTGGACTCAAACACCAAAGGCACGATGACACAGTGCGGGATTCCAGTTTTATAACAGATCCCATCCATCAGCCCACGCAACCAGGGGCAGTTCTGTAAGTTTGGGGATCATAAGCAGTGTCCTACTCCCCCGCAGGCCATTCTTGACATGTTATTTTGCATGCAAATTAATAGTTAATTCATTTTGGTAAAAAATTGAATAAAGTCTAAATAATAACACTACAATTTCCCAACTATATCTATAGAAACTAAATGGTCTATATACATAAAATTCATAAATACAAGCTATTTTTCTGCCAATATTGTGATTAATAAGAATGAAATAAATATACTTATTGAGCCCCTTGTGGCCTGGGACACTAAGCAAGAAACGGCAAGGCACACAACCAAATCAAAATTTAAAATTGGGTTACATTTGGGACGGATTACCAACTGGGTTAACTGGGCACATGCCCAGGAGCCTCAGGCACTGGGAGGCCCTCAACCAGCATAGAATTATAATAGATTGTCTTGTCTGTACACATATTATTTGGTAATACTATTGGTTTGTGGATATGGATTTGTAATCAATGAATGGTGTGGTCAGCTAAGTTAGAGAAGGGAACTGATAAGTTTGGTAAGTTTGGTCTGTAACTTTGTTAATCCCTTTAATTTCCAGGCTTATTACATCCAGGACCGTTATTCAGTAAAAACATAGGAAACAATGCAAACAGACTGAGTTATTCTTAATGTACAATTCCATTATTTTTTTTTAAATGTATATTAAACAGTTAAGATGTTAAAAAGTCATTCAGAGTGGTTTGATGTGAAGTGCTCCATCCTGGAGAAACAAAAGTCAGAACTGTTCACTGGGGTGGTGACAGGAACCTCCAACAGGACATCCAATGCCTCTAGAAACTATCTTACAAAAAGTAATTACATGAAATGGTTACAAATACAGTGTCTAACATGTGAGACATTGTTTTAGCATAGTTTTGCAAAGTTTTTCTTAAATCCAAAGAAAAACACTTTCTTTACTTAATTTAAATGTGTCCATTGGTTTCACATGAATATAATATATTACATAAACTCAATTCTTGCCAAAAGTAAGTAAACTGAAGGGAAAAAAACTGTAATGATGTAACATTTTATTCATGCGCAAATGACGTACACATTTGAATCAAGGAAATAAGTAATATTTGACTATCAGGAACACCAAATACTGTTTGGTGAGCAGTAGAAACTATTTGGTGAGCACCAGGAACTGTTTGTTAAGCCTCTGCAAGGACATGTTTTTTTATTTTTTAATCTGTTGCACACCAGATATCAGGTATGCACCAGATACTATTTAGTGAGCACTAAAACCTATTCGGTAAGAACCAGACATTGTTTGGTGAGCACTAGATACTATTTAGTGAGCACCACAAAATAAATAGCATCAGACACTGTTTGGTGAGCAACACAAACTATTTAGTGAGCATCGGATACTGTTTGGCGAGCACCAGAAACTGTTTGGTGAGCACCAGATTCTATTTGGTAAGCACCAGAAACTGTTTGGTGAGCACAACATACTATTTGGTGAGCAAAAGAAACTGTTTGGTGAGCATCAGAAGCTATTTTGTGCGAATCAAACAGTATCTGGTGCTCACCAAACAGTTTCTGGTGCACAACAAATATTATCTTGTACTCTCCTGATAACAATAACCTAATACATTGTTGCCAAGTACCGGATATATTTTGAACTGCAGTACAGAACATACTTAAAATTATGTTTACTTGTAAAATGTAAATATTGTTTTTAAGCATGATTTTCAGAATTAGCTTTTTAGTGCTCATTTGGAAAAAAACAAACCAGTCTGTAAAATGCTATTTGGGCTGGAAGGTCAATGAAAAGAAAAAGGGAAAAGGAAGCCAGCATAATGAGTGTATGATCGCTGTGTGCAGCAATGCCATTTGAAATCCCATATGGACTCATGCATGCAGCACAAAAGTACTGGTGATGGTTTATTACAAGGGCTCAAGACTTTAAACACATGACAATGTGATGGTACACACCCACTCGCTCACACTTGTGGTAATTAAAACACACAGACACATAGACATGCACACACACACACACACACACACACTTACAGGGTGATGGCAGAAAGCTCTGACATCCTGCACGAATGCTGGACAGCCTGTGCTGGCTCACTGAAGCATTTCTGTGCACAGCTGCTAAACACGACAAAGACAATACAACAAAGACAACAAACACCTCTTTAGGACAGAACACTCACATACACTCTTTCACACATCTGTGCACACACACAAAACACAATTCAAGCAACTCCTCCTAAACACACACACACAGACACACACACACACACGCATAAACGCATATATACACAGTTTGCAGCCTTCAGCAACATTCAGCCTAAAAATCCATTTTGTGGCATCAATTTGATGTCTGACACATCTTTTCATAATTATTGTAAAATATCCTATATGGCCCTCATTATTGAGCTGAGCTGTTCCAGCCACATACATCACTAACAAGCGTATAAAATCAAGCACAGAGGCCAATCTCCACAGGCAAACACTGGCAGTAGAATGAGTCATTCTGAAGAGCACATTAACTTTAAATGCAGTACTGTCTTAAGATGCCACCTTTGCCACAAGTTTCTGAAATTTCTGCCATAGCTAGATCTGCCCTAGACAACTGTAAGTGCTGTTAATGTGAAATGGAAGTGTCTAGGAGCAACAACAGCTCCACGCAAACTCAGAGAGCAGGCCGCCAACTATCCTCTGTTACATACGTCACTACAGAGTTGCAAACTGCCTCTGGAAGCAATATCAGAACAAGAATTACACATGACTGAGCAGTTGCACACAAGCCTAAGACCCCTGTACGCAATGCCAAGTGTTAGCTGGAGTGGTTTAAAGCATGTCGGTACTGGACACTGCAGCAGCGGAGATGTTCTCTTTGGATTAAAGAATCTCACATATATGTGTGATCTTCAGGCGTCCACATACTTTTGGCTGTATAGTGTGTGTCCAAACCAAACACTAAAATGAATGAAATTCTCCTGCATTTTTCGTTTGTAGTGTGTTGTGGTGAATTTGAGCCCTGCGTGGTTCTCTAACTCATTTGCACAGAGACCGCTGAGGTTTAATGTTGCCGTAGTTAGCTGTGTTTAGCATTTCTTTTATGCACTGCAATGTTATATGTGTGTTATTTGAGCTAGTCAGTGAGTTTTGTTGGTGAGCTATTTATTGTACCCAGATTTTGAAAACTAATCTAAATCCATTGTTTAGCCCTTTAGGGGGAGAGTCTCTTGGCTAACCACCAAGCGTACTGCTTGTGCTGTAAGCATCTGTTGTCGAATAAAGAGCATTGCCGTTTCCAACAACGCTTCCTGATCCAACTTCCAACTTACACTGCAAAAAATGGTATAGTGGCAAGTGAGATTATGTTATAGTCATTATATCCAGTATATAAGCTTACTATAAACCTTTTTAATTTATTTCCAGACTTCTAGATGTATTTTTACTTGTTTTAAGTGATATTAAGGGAAATTAATTTCACTAACCTGAGCTGCTTTTTCACTGTGTTGCTCTGTGTTTAAAAGTTTGATAAAACTTGTTTATAAGATCAGCTTTGATAAAACATTCTCTCATTCGTGTCACATCCTAAGATCTCTATTGTTAGAATGTAATGGTTGTAGTTCTGTTATGCCTCCGGGTCTTCTCCCTGCCTCCCTCAAACACACACACTACAATTCCCATGATTCTCTGGACTCTCACATCATGAACTCAACCAATCAGGAACCACATCCCAGATCCACATCACCTGATTATTAAACTGTTGTCACCTGCCACTCATTATCCTCTGTGTATAAATACCTGCCTCTTTGTAGAGTTTATTTGCAAAGTATTGCCAACTTTTTTCATCATGTACTGAGCTTTCGTTTCTTTTTCTTATCTTCCCATGTTTATGACCTGTTTCTCATTTCTTGTCTTTGAATTCCCCTTTTGGTATTGCTTGTCTTGGACTGAGTGCTGTTTTAGCTTTGACCCATGTATTTGACCCTCTCTTTTCAGTTATGTTTGTATTTATACTCTTCGCTGTTCTGAACTGGCCTGGCTTAGTCACACCTTTTGTTCAGCTGCTCTTTGTTAATAAATACTCTTAGAATTTTTACATCTGCGAACATCTGGTTAGTTGGTTTTAATGTTACATGTTATATAGACACATATCAACTCATGGAATTCAGCAAGTACGTGAACTTCAAGTTAACAGATTTTCTGTTCTCTTCTAAATTCAGGGAAACATCTCAAGTTTACTGTCTGTGGCAAAACATGATTAATACAGCTAGGCCTTCAGTTCGGACCAAATATAAAATATAAGCAAATAAAAAAACAAGCAAGAAAAAACACATCTACCATAATGCTAATTTCTGTTACCCCTATGGGATTTCTAATAGTGTGTTAGCACTAAACCAACACTGATGCATATTAACATTTTTGTCCATTTTAGATTAAACACTGTCATTTGAAACTTGTAAAAGACATTCCAGGCTCTATTTGAAGCTTGTAACATGACAACATATATTTTACCTGTATGTCGCAGTTTTACTATAGTGACTCTTCCAGTAAAGAGTCCTGGCATCGACTCTTTTACATTCCTAACGTCTGAAAGAATGTATTAGGCTGCTTGCTGGATTCACATATCCTGGACATACCTTGGACTTCCAGTAGGTTAATAGTGACATTTTCTTCTCACTAAATTAGTCTGACTGAATTGTAAATCAAAACACGATTTGATTCCACTCCGCTCCTGTCATTATATTAGTGGACAATGCGCAAGGCCTTCAGTTCAGCTCCTAGCCAATGGGAGAGGCTGCTCGGCCTAGATACCTAGATACCACAGAGAAAACAATCCTGACTGGATAATTTTCCATTGGTTTCAAAATTTTAACCATTTTGTTTCCAACCAAAACTCAAGAATGAAATAAGAGTATTACTACAATCCATGCAGAGTTATTGTTAAATACAACAAGCACAATGATTCTAAAATAAAAATGATCTAAAAATTACAGACATGTATTTGTTTAAATCCTAGAAAACATTAGGCTTTCTCTAAAGCCCCTGATGTGCAGGTAAAGATTAGGTTACAAATGCTGGAATGTTCCTTTAAGCTTAAACTGGAACCCAACACATTCGTTCAAAGAAGCACTGAAATGATATGAAAAACTGCGAAACACTGTTAAGCACAACTCATATTAACCATCTGTATAAAATCTCAACAACTGCACATGGACAAGCACGTGCCAATCTAAACCTACAACTCCTTCCATCCAGTCCTTCTGGAGAAAACTGCCACCACAGGGGTCCTGAATCAGCAGAACAGTTTGTCCTTCCTAACGCTGCATAATCACCAAGAACAACAGACCCAGGAACATTACAGTCCCATTCACAGAACTACAAAGCGGTCTGCAGCTGCTGTAACTGCAGTGCAGAACGTCCATTCATCTGTAATACTCCCATCAAACCTGACACCGCAGGGTGTCAGCGACTAATAATGCTAGAAACACTATCGATCAGCCACTTAGATGTGTCAGAACTGCACATACTATCTGTGTGGAGTGTGTGTCTCTGTGTGTAAGAGAGTTGGGTTTCCATGATGACTGAGAGAGGCTTACTAACAGGTAAATGCTGGACTCGTTCCCTCCGACGTCTGGAGACTGCAGCTTCTGGACGAGGATGATGATGATCCCAATGAAGAGCACAAAGTTAATCTGATGAGATGAAAAACAGAAGAGTTGTTTGTGTTGTTGTTTACGGTGAAAAAACAAAGATGCACCAATCATGAATTTGTTTACAGTTAAATTGACTGATGGGTGATTTTTTTATTAGCCTTTTTAACTTGAACATCATACTTTGTGGCCTAAGTGAACACAAGAACCACACCAGCACATTTACAGTACTTATTAGCTAAAGTCACAACATATTTTAACTGCTCTTTGCTTTCTTGATTACTGTAATGACACTCGGGCAGTGGAAGATGACCGAGCAAGAATACACAAAGTTGAGAAACATTTCATGTCTCAGAATTTGATTTCAGCTGCTGAGGCTGTTCGGCTTACCATAATAGAAGCAACGACAGGTCCCTTGATCACCCACCAGAGGGCAGTGTTGTCATTCATATCCCAGCAGCTGCACCAAGAAAAGAAAATCAATGCAAATTGAGGCAGTGCTAGGCTGATCCTTGTCACTTAAACACGACCAGCGTCTTCCCAGAGGTCAAAACTGCTCACAACGATCCCTTAAATTCCCCTTAAAGGACCAAATTAACAGGCAGAAGGGACATTTCTGTCTGCCGCAACAAAACCTACCCAGAGTCATCAAAATGCAGCCGCAGAACCGCCCATATCGTCACACAAATGGTTGGGGTTCCTGTAACACAACAAAAAAAAACAGTCTTTTTGTTCTTGTAGGTACTGATTCACTGCGTCAGTACAGTAGCATTAATGCTGAAACGGCACTTCATCTCTACAAAGATGTTCCAAGGTCAGTGAAGGTGACAGTTCTTGATCAACCAAATGCGTCTATTTAAACATCTTTTAAACATCTAATAAACATCCATTCATCTGCTACGACCCTACATTTACATTTACATTTACATCATTTAGCAGACGCTCTTATCCATGAGCAATGTATTTAATAAAACAAGTATGCATACAGAGCAATCTTACTCATGTAAAAGTGCATTAGTTGTTTTTTTTACTTGTACAAACACCTGGAAAATCTGTAGAAAATGATTTAAAAAAATGTTTTTAGCAATGGCATCGGACTTTAGTCAGGGTTTACACTGGCCTCCTGTCAGTCATTTAATAAGACCCTCCTCTACACCACATAATTCTGCCCCATCTCTGTCTGCTTAGTTTAGATCACATGGCTGCGCAGGAAGGGTTAAGTACTGGGGGGTGCAATGTGCTGTGCTGCAAATTACCCTTCAAGTTAAGAAACATGCCAAAACAAAAATCAACATCAGAAAACTTTTCAAACATTTTCAATAACTGCATCGTGGCATACAAAGGGGATAAAGTTGGATGCAGAGAGGGTCTCAGAGTGTTTTCTCGATGATATGAGGTTGGTATAGTGTAGTGGGTAACACCTCTGCCTTCTACGCTGTGGACTGGGGTTTAATCCCCGCCTGGGCAAGCACCCTACACTATACCAATAAGAGTCCTTGGGCAAGACTCCTAACACTACCTTTGCCTACCTGTGTAAAAATGATCAAACTGTAAGTTGCTCTGGATAAGAGCGTCTGCCAAATGTCATAAATAAAAATAAAATACATGGTCAAAAATCAGATGTTTTAGAGGTTGGCATCACATTATGATTTAAAAACGTTGTCCTTCAATCTTATGTTGCAATGAATCGTGCTTAGTATGGCCAGGCACACAAACTAACTAGGTAAAAAGGTATATTCTGATTTCAGTTTGACTTTTAAATCTGCTGGCAGTTGGTCTGCATGCATGTTCACGCTGGTCCTAGTAAAATAGATCAGCATGTGGAATTGGAGCTTTCTGTGTGCTACCGTGTTTAATATCACTGTATAAAAGAAGCTCCATGCTGTCTTTCTTATTGCACTGTGCACTGCATGCAGAACGCAATTCACAGCGCTGTGGAAACGCTTGTTATTGATTTCATCAGATTTCATCACAATAAAAGGCGACTGAAGTGTAAAGTATATTTATAATGTCCCGTGTTTTCCTGTATGAAAAGGTAGTTTGTAGCACAAACGGAATAAAAACCTAAACATCATATTCTATATATATGTCTAAATAAATGCAACAACTGAAAAGTACTAAAAGTACTGACATTTTTTTTAAAGAAGAAGCTTCATTCTAGGCTGAGACAGCCCTTATAACTTCAACTTGAATGAGTGGACCTGCTGCACACTGAATAGGCAGATTTATGTAAATGCACTGGTTTTTGTAAAACAGTGAATGGCTTTTTCTGCAGCTTGTTTTGAATGTTTAACAGTCTCTACCTTCTACACTCAAACTCTTTTCCATGATATGGGCCCTTTATAGGCTAAACAGATGCAACCTACCCCAGCCAATGATGGTGTACCAGTAGAAGTATCTCCTCTCTGGGAAAAAGGTTTCCACCAGCAGAGTGAAGAGATACAGGCCTTCGATGAAGAGCCAGAAGTAATTAGACATGACACAGTAGTGGAAGAACACCATCACCGCTTTACATGCCACCTAGAAATAAGAATATACATGAGGAATACAGAACAATGGCAGCTAAAAGAATAATCAAATAATATGATAAACAACTTATGGTAACTAGGGATGGGATGGTTATTGTTTTTAACTATAACCACATACAATTACCATCTTTTTAACAAGTCACAGCGGGAGTAAATGAGATGAGTGGTTTGATGTGAAAGGGTTCATTTTTAGTAACTGGGTTAGGTTTACAGTAGACTTACAGTAGTGGTGATAGGTCATGAAGTCTACAGCGCCAATATGGCCATCTTCTTTACTATCCAGCCATTTTATTTACTATCCATTTTATTTAAATTACCAGCGAACCTACACTTGTATTCTTAGGTTTTATATGTAATATTGATCATGGTAAAAAACAATGTTTTTTGGGGGGCTATTTTACCTTACAATGTCCTGCATGAACCTGTCTGCCATGGGTTAAATAAATAAAGCCAAAATCTGATCTCAAAACTATCATTAAACAGGCATCAGGCAGCATATTCATAACTATTTTATGTATTAACTTTCTAGGAATTAGCTTTTAGAGGTATTAATTGCTTTGAATGTCTGGTTCCAATCACTACCACTGTGAATAATGTTTAATCTGCATATCTACCATTCTAATGAGTTTGTCTTAACCATTTAATTATGAAAACATTTTTAAAAATTCTTCTTTAAGTATAAGAAAGGCTATCAATACATCCTGATGAAATCACTATAATACCAACTAAAAGACTTAAGATTAAGCTTAGTTAATGTGTACACATTCCTAAAAATAACGGTATCAAAAGTAACACGTTTTTATTATTACTATTATTTTTTGGTTTCCTAAAGAACCTTTCAATATACTGCTCTTTTGTACATGAGCTGTGCGAGCATGAAGAACTCTTATAGGACCTGTAACGTAAAGGTTCTATACCAATTAAAGGTTTTTCCTAGAACTGCATGTCCAAGCCAAGAACCGTTCAGGAACCATTACTTTATAAGTACAGTGCGTCATTCATCCCCATTCACTGTAATAGCTGCAAGAGTGGCCTTTATCATGCTCATCAATTTCTCCCTGATTTAATTAGGCCAGGTGATGTCATCAGAATGGCCTCTGATTGGCTGCCACACCAAACTCAGAGCCCTCGGTCAGGTGTATTAGGAGCGCATGCGGAGCTGAGCAGGTATTGACATGGTAATGCAGCACTAATGGAATATTTCCATGGCCTGCTGAACTCCGCTGCTACAATGTTAATTACGGCTGTTTTTCAGACAGAGGCCAGGGCCAGCAGAGTGGGTTGCTGCTCTCTGTGAAGCGAAAGCCTGAACCCAGGCGATTTTAGTGAGCAGTACCTTATGCCTTTCTGATGCAAATGGAACTAAAAGCATTGTCTTGTTTGCATTCATTACTTAATTTACATAACATGAATTGTGTTTGGCTTCTAATGGAGCACACAGTTAATTTAAATAGGCTGGAGAATTCAAGACAGGGTGAAGTACTGACTAGTGCTATGCACTTTGGGTCCACAAGGGGGCTCTCTTTATGATGGAGTTCAGTTTTAGATGCTAATTAGGTGAAATAATGTCAAAAACAAGTATCCTGGATTTATTCAAAAGCTGTTTGCTGTCCTTTGTTTATATGTTATTTTTAAACACACTGGCCTTTATTTGTCAAAGCTATGCAGACTCAAGGGCCCAGAAAGGCACATAAACTACTATGCATTTGCTTTCTGAAACATCTGTAAGACATTGAAAGAAGCACTTCTAGTTACTTACAAATTACATGTTGACAGTATTCAAATTATCGCAATTATAATTAGGTATATGCTGTACAATCGAATTCACATTTGGTAGGCGTACATATAATATTGCACAAGACTTTAACAACCTAAAACACTGCTTGATTTGTAGTTAAATGCTCTAAATTACTGTCAATATAAATGATAATGTCAGTAATAATGACCAATATAGAAAATAATGATAATACTAATTATTGTGCACGTGGCAATCCTCATACTAAAGTGGATTTGCTTACTGTTTACATGCGTACTGACATAAACAAACACTGCGACTACATATTGTTTTATTTAAAGACTTTTGCTTTATATGACTGATACAGCAAGTAACTACTGCCCAAACAATACATGGCATAGCTGAAATAGCACAGAGCATTCTTAAAAAAGATGGTTCTTCAAGGGTTCTTTAGTAAAGATGATGATGCTATATAGAACCATGGCCACTCAAAGAACCATTAAATGGTTGTTTGCATGGTGGAATGCTTCTTCAGACAGATGGAGAATGCGTTGTATATGGTTCTGTACAGAACCTTATTGAAAATGGTTCTATATAGCACCAAAAAGGGTTCTTCTATTATCACAAGCTTGACATTGTAACAAATAAGAATGCTTTGGTACTATATAGAACCATTTTCAATAAGGTTCTATACAGAACCATATACAACACAATCTCCATCAATCTGAAGAACCATTTCACCATGCAAAAAAACCATTTAAGCATACAAATGATTCTGTGAGTGTTTGTGGTTCTATGATGTTGTATATGGTTCTATATAGAACCTTTCTGAATGGTTCTATATAGTACCAAAAAAAGGTTATTCTATTGTTATGATGTCAAAATTGCAACCCTTTTGGTGCTATCTAGAACCATTTTCAAACAATTAAAAATGACACTAGACTTTCATGAGGAGAGGCTGAGAAAGAGTTACAAAAACATTGACATACATAAAATCATTATTTATTGTATTATTGTTACTTTTTTAATTGTTTACTTTAATACTACAGACTAAAATGATAGATCTCCGAAGGTTCTTTAGTAAAGAAAATGGTTCCATATAGAATCATGAACATTCAAAGAACGCTTTGCATGATTGAAGCGTTCTTTGCATCGTGAAAGGGTTCTTCAGATTGATGGAGAATGTGTTATATATGACACTGTAACAAGAGAAGAACCCCTTTTGGTGCTATATAGAACCATTTTCTTTGAGTGTTCATGGCTCTATTTAAGTGTAGCACTTTTCCTGAGTAAATACATGCATACTGCTCATAAAAATTGCTTTTAAATTCTAATTTCCTCAGGCACCTATAACTTTTTCACAGTACTGTATATATAAGACAAGACTGATGCAAAGAAAAGGCCTCACCGTGTGGACAAAGCAGTGGTCACTGTCCTCCTCAGCATACAATACCCCATCCTTAATGAAGACAGAGATGGCTCGCAGGATGAACGACACAAACAAATTCATGTGGATGAAGTTCCTGGTGCAGTGCAGCTTCCTGTCAAAGCCATGGACAAGTTAAGTGTGCACTAATGAATGGGTTGGGTTGCTCTGAGAACAGTGCGTGTAAAGAAGATACAGGAGCGAACAGGAATAACAGTGACATAAAAAAGTCTCCACAGGGGTCAGAGCCCATTTCATTGCAAGTCCTGCTACAGCCAGCAGAATTAAATCAGAATCACTTGGAGGAGGGGAAAAAATAGGGCTCCCTCCAACTGGCAGGATGAAATTCAATTTCCAATGCAGGACAACCTGAGCTGAAATGGAATTGACCCCTAGACTGGTTTCCCCAATATCTGTTATATGCGGTGTGATTACTGGACATAGGGCTGTTAGACTGACCTGAACCTGCAAAGGATGACCATAGCAGTGGTGAGGGACACCAGGGAGGTGCTGTAGCCCACTGTATAAAGAGCCTTCACCGATGCATAGTACATATCCTGTAGAAAAAGGAAGGAGCACATGATAAACAAATATGCAAAGGAAATATATTTACATATTGTTTGACATATATGTAAACATAAATAATGGACATTTTATACATAGATATATACATTTAATCTATGCATATATTGGCATATATCTGAATATTAAACATGGCATATTTAAATATATTTTGAAAACATCACATAACTGCATATTTATGGCACATACATTTTTAATATGAGTAATTATATCTATGTATATTTTTCTTCCACATACGAACAGCAAGCAAAGAAGCTGTTTCTGTGTGTTTGTGCAAGGGGTCCGCTTATGACATTTACATGGGTTTCTGTTCAGTCATAATTCATTTTTATAAGGCCATTTTCCATCCTCCCTCTATCCATTAGAATTAAGTAGGCTGTGTTTGTTACTGTACCTTTAAAACTGATATATGTAAATAATCTCTGTTCTGATTGGCTGCCATGTATTGTGTCTCTTTCAAAAAGCAGTCCAGGCTGGAACACTGCTTCTAACTTTCAAGTTATACAAGCAGGGCTAAACTGCTGTATACTAAATGGAAAATATGTAAATGCGTTTTGTGACGTCAGATGCAGATTAATTTTTATATACAGACTGTTTGAACTGGGGAACGAAAAGTATATTTAAATGTTACATTAAAGTGATAAAGTGATTATATTAAAAAAATAAATAAATAAACATTTGTTTTTCCTTGATGTGGGCCCTTTAATGTGCAGCAGTAGAAAGTGTATTTTGAAAGAGCACATACGGGTTTGGTGCCATTCTCATCAGGCAGGCAGGCGTCCACGTAATGTGGGTAAGTTTCAGACCAGCCGTCTTCAGTACAGTTCCTGCTGATCTTGCCAAGGCCTGTGAAACCACCAGAATACAATCAATATCAGACTTACAGTGATACTGGGTGAAAAAATGTACAAGGTTTAGCCCTTAATTCAAACTTAGTCCATCACCCAAGACATGTTTGATGTTTAAAGTTTGCTTCTTTAGTTTTGTACTGGAGCTATGAGGCTAATGAAGCTAACACGTAATGATCCCAAGCAGTTCTGGCCTGAATAATTAGAAAACTCAAGGATTTGTTCCTTAAGTTGGTATTCGATTCTATATTTAGTACCTGGAAGCATGGTTGAACTACAGCTTGGCTATGACTGAGCTCAACTCATCTGTGTTGCTCTCGCTGCATTATGAAATGGAAATATTACTAGTTTTAGGTTTGATGTTGAGAATGGGTAATCGAGTACTCACTTGGAAATATCAACAAGTAATTGAGGCCAGTAAAATGTAAAATGTGAGCAAGGACAGCACTTTTGGTGCTTGGACCCCTAATTAATGGCAATATGTTGTAATAGATCAAGCCAGTGAAATGTAAAGCCCTACATATAAGCATAATCAAAACTGCGTGGCTAAATATTTGCACACTTGCTTCAGCCCATGTTGAGTTGTTAAGAAATCTCAGATTTTGCTGTTTCTGACACTGTATGACATACTGTTATAAATAACAATGGACAAAAGCATGAGCAGAATTCAGCCTTCAAGGTTGCTGCTACTACTGTAACACATTTTTATTTATTTTTATAGATGACAAACTTTAAATACTACATATTTATTGGCTGATTATCACTTTAAATACTGGACTAAGTAGTACTGAATGCAGAATTGTAAAATAAATGTAATACAAATAATTATATGAAGAAATAATAATAAGAAAAATGTGAACCCCAACAATACTTTTAGTGCTTGGACCCCTGATTAATGCCAATGTGTTGTGATAGATGAAGCTCGAATATAAACTGTACATACAAAAGCAGACATAAAAGTCACTCACCCTCCTCAGGACTCATAAACCCAAAGAGTTCAGGGCAGTTGACCACGACAATCTCGCCTACGCTGGCAGCCTGCCAACATGTCAGGTTATCCCACTCCCAAGCACAGCCTGTGGGACACAACACGAAGCACTTACACAGACACATCAGCCTCAATATACCAAAAGGCCACAGGCCACTCAACCCTTAATACTCTTCATGTGTCAACTACTTTTAAAACTGTCATAAGCAATTTTGTATGAAGACTCATCTTTGTGAGTTCTTTTTTTCTCTCTAAAGAGGCACCAAGAACAGCACCTACTTCTCCTCTCCTCCACAATGCACTTCAAAAAAAGACTTAAAGCTAAAATTTAAACAAAACTCGCTTTTAAGGGCTCATGTCATGGATAAACTAAATTTGCTTTTTGGAATTAAAAGAGTTCTATGTACTTTGAAAACACTGTAAACATTATAGCTGTATCATTCCATACGGTCCATTTATGATGTCACAACCATGAACACATTTCCATATGACCACCGATTCAGCCTACAGCAGTTCAGCCTCACTAATTAATGTTTCAGTGATGTAGTTCCTGCAAACAGTCTGTAGTTCTTAAAGCAGAAGATGTAGAGAATCGATTAAACATTGTGCTGTTCATGTATTTCGGGAAGCCAATGGTTCATTGCAGCCTTCCAAAGGATTCACACATCCGAATGGAGCGAATGAAGCTTGTTTTTCCCATGTCCTTGAAAATTTCAGTTGGAACTCAACAGTTTGTTCTCTACATTTCAGTCTGAACATGATTTAATTTCTCAATGGGACAGCCAATCAGAATAGAGCTCATTTACCTATACAGTTGTATGCACCCATGATGAAATTATGTTTTATGGATTTTCTAAGAGAAAATAAGTTAACGCAGCCTCTACAGAGAAAACACATCTGCACATTTTAATGCACAATTATTAATTTGCTGAATTTGACATATTAGGAAAAGATAAAACATAAAATGTGGCCTGTGCAAAAGTTATAGCACATTTTATAATTTATGTTTTTCACCTCAGTATGTTAAAGAAACTGTGCACTACAATTTTAAGGAAATGCCATATTTAAGTTTAATCCCTGCATAGGATGTGTTAACTTATTTTCACTTAGAACATCAACAAAACATGTTATTTGACTGGTGTTCAAACCTTTGCATATGACTGTAAACCAAAGCAACCTTACAACCTAATTATTATGAACAGACAAATTCTAAGGGACAAATACATACAATCACAAAACTGGACTTCAGGAAGAACAATGCAAAACAAGAAAAATGCAGAATATGAGCCCTTTAATTCAACTATTAAAAATATCCTGACAAAAGTTTTTTCACTGATTTTATCAGCTGTATCTATCTAGCCTTGGCTAATATCGTGGATATAGTGGATAATGCCGTTGTCTCACATGTGAAAGATGGGGGTTCGATTTCCCACTCAGGCAGAAATGACACCACATCCTTAGGCATGACTCTTAATGCTACATTCCTATATCACTATAAATCAAAAAAGCTATTTGCCGTATAAAAACTGCATGCTGTGATCAGAGGACAGCAAAGTGTACATGAGACATTATCAATATATGATATAAAACTGGTGATATTCATTTTCTTGCGACATCATTATAAAAACTCAATTGCAAACCATCCCTGATGTTAAAGTTAGGTAGATTAGCCAGTGAATTATGTGGACCTGCTTCAGGGTGTTGCATATCAGTGTAATTTTGCATTAAGCTATGTAAACTTTAAAGGGCCCATATCCTACAGTGTTGTTGTATTTTGTTTGTTTTGTCCATTTATGGCATCTGTGTGGTTTTATGTAGCAAAACCAGTCAAAATTCATTTTTACATGGCCATTTTTCAGCCTCTCTTAAAATTAAAACAGGCTGTTAACGTCACCGTGCCTTTAAGACTGATATATATAAATTAGCTCTGTTCTCATCATATGTTTGAAACAGTGTTTGCATACTGTATCAAAGTAAACAAAACAAGAAATGTTTGGTTTTCCATGATATGGGCCTTTTAACATTAGTAATATTTCCTGACAAATAAGTTACTACAAATTGTGATATTGGTTCTTTTAATAATCAATGTAAATAAATTTCAAATCTGTAAGACTTTACATGTTTGTTCTATCATTAGCTGTTGTTGCAATCCGCACAGCACACATAAAGCATTTTGATTGTTCCAGTCATGAAAACGGCAGTGACGTCACATGAATTCCTTTAAAGCTGAGACTCAAGCCACTCAGACCAACAGGGGGCGCTATGAGCCAACACTCCTCCCCCAGTCTCCATATGACTCATCCTGACCCTGGAGGTGAGGCTGATCAATACGTGATCATGGCGAAAATCCATCACATTCTCAACTGCATCGTCTCCTGATGGGGGAATTGAATTCCGCTCCTCTGCTTTCCTTTGGCACCTTACAGTGATTATCTTCGCTCCGGCGATGCCTCAGTGTACTGTCAGAAAGCTGATGACAGCTCCGTTTAGGCAGCTGCAGCTTCTCCTCCGCCTCCCCCTGCCTTTCTCTGGAGTCGGTGAGAATGCTGCGTGTTTTCGTGCATGCCGGACTAAAGCACTGTATCCTGGAGCTCTCCATCAGAATGAAATCGGGGTATTAGAGAGAGTTAGGAGCAAAACCATCAGAGCGCATAATCTCTGATTTAGAAGATTTTCAGTGATGCCCAGCGATTGTCATATTTTAAACCAAAAACAAAGACAGTCAGGTTGGAGTGAGGGGAGTGAGGCTCGAACACATACAGCGCAAGGCCTGGGCAGATGTACAGAACGGCCACTGAAAACTCAAATTACAAGCACACATTCTCTCAGAACTACCTCTCGGCTTCTTGTTGGTGTTGTTTCTGCAGTTAAGGCAGTCGACTCCAGATGTGTGATCTTTCCACATTTAGGCAGTGAAATAACACTGGCTCGTCTACAACAAAGCATGGAACCCAGCCAAAAAAAAGTCCTGGTAGAGTTCACAAGCACAGTAACTCTGGCCGTGTGCCTGATGGAGTCCAGTGATGAATCTGCCCCGTATGTGTACATAATCAGCCCAGAAATAAACAATACTACATTCACATTAACTCTCTCTCTCTCTCTCTCTCTCTCTCTCTCTCTCTCTCTCTCTCAGTCTCTCTGTTTTTTTCTATACATTTCTAAACTGTTTTTGTCTGTTTATCTCCCATCACTTTTTATCTATCTATCTATCTATCTATCTATCTATCTATCTATCCATCTATCCATCTATCTATCTATCTATCTATCTATCTATCTATCTATCATCCATCCATCCATCCATCTATCTCCCATCTTTTTTCCCTGTTTCTTTTTCTTTTGTTCCTTCTTTTTCAATCTTTCTCCCCTTTTCACACTCTCTCTTGCTTTCTGTCACTCTTTTTTTCTATTTCAATCTCTCTCTCTCTCTTTGCTATTTCACACCCTCTACATCTCTCTCACTATTTTCTCTATCTTTCTTTCTTTCTCTCACACTTTTTTCTATTTCAATCTATCTCTCTCTCTCTCCCTCTCTCTCTCTCTCTCTCTGTGCTATTTCACTTTCTACATCTCTCTTGTTCTTTTCTGTTTTGTCTTTTCTTTCTTTCTTTCTTTCTTTCTTTCTTTCCTTTTCACACTCTCTAACTCTTTCTTTCTCTCTCGCTCTTTTTTCTATTTCAGTCTTTCTCTCTCTCTTCTCTCTCTCTCTCTCTCTCTCTCTCTCTCTCTATCTCTCTCTGGTGGAGGAAGAGAGCAGTAGATTGTTTTTTTTCTGCCCGGTGGCACATGCTGCCCCCTCCTCTTCACTCTAATCTGTTTTTGCTCTGTCTGGCAGCCTGGACACAAAGCCAATTACCTCTTAAAGGGCAAATAAGAGTAGTCCAAACCAGCAGAGAGAAGATGGAATGGACAGAGACGAATCACGGACTGCACACACCCAAACTGTCTGACCATTACAGAGACAATTGAAGCTATTACAACAGAATAAAGCCTACATGCTTAAAGGGCCTACATCTTACATTTTCATTATCTTACTGGCATTTCATTTTTCCCCCGTGGTCAATTATTGATGTTTGTTTGGTTTTAGGTACCAAAAACCAAAGCCATAATTCATTTTTACATCACTATTTTCCAGCCTCTCTTTATTACTTAGAATTAAACAGGCTGTTTTTGTTATTGTGCCTTTAAGGCTGATATATGTAAGTGCACTCTGTCCTGTCTGGCTGCTCTGTATTGCATTAAAAAGTAGTCTGGGCTGCAACACTCTTTAAAACATTAGCTTAACTTTTAGTGACATCACAAAACAAATTTCATTCAAAATGGGCTATATTACAGCTTTGTTTGGCAGCAAGGATTGTATGGACTGAAGAGTGAACACTACATATGAAAATGTTTACATACCACATCAAACTGATTTCTTTCAAAAAAAAGCATGAAAAATTCATATTTCCATTATTATGCAACTGATACTAAAACAGTGAGATTGCAGGAGTAATATTAATACACACTACCATAGCTTACTTGAAGTATGTCAAATGGCAATTTAATTCAATTTCTTCATTCTTTCTATGATAGAAATACCTTGATTCATCCAAGCACTCGCAGAGATGCTAATGAGGAAAGTCTGTGATTGGTCAGGATGCTCACAGCACAAAATAAAGCATATCATTGCTGTCGGAACAAAACCGTCTATCTCCAAAATGGCAGCTTTACAGGAGAAGGAAAAAACATACGTTACTTTTAATGTAAGGCAATGGAACCAGAGTTCTTTCCAAGTCATTTTGGGTCATTTTTTTGGTCCGTTCATCATGAAATTTACATACAACGTAAAGGGCAGCAGACATTTTCAAATCATGTCAAAAACTGAAAAACGTAAAAAAAACGGAGAGACAAGGTTTTGTTCCGACAGCAGCGATATAAGGACCGTTTCAAGGCTCATTTGCATACTGCAGCCCTTTATATCAATAGCACTGCAGAAGCCAGTACTGCGAAAACGATTAACTAACAGTATGTAGGTGGCGGATTTCTGAGGATGTTTGCTCAGGGCCCAGTGTACCCAAAAGCACCTTAGTGTTAAGATCATCTTAACTG